ACTTTTGAAATGAAATGCAAAATACTAGTTGGTTAAACTTTTCTAGACAGACCACGTAATTGATTAGTCAGCTACCTTAATATTATTACTTCTAAAGATTGAAAATAACAAAGACAGAAGAATTCTTTTCAACACATTTTCTTGCACATTACCTATGTACATTGTATACATTTTAAAATGAATGTATCTTAAACCTTTTGCAACAATTATAAAAACAAAATATACTACTGATTTTAAGGTGTATATTAGGTGTAGATGTCAATACTTAAATAGGCCTTATTACTATTTTTATTACTAATTTTACGAATTTTACCAATTTTTCGATTTTGGATGTTCATATATAAAGCTGAATTATAATTTTTGAAGCCTTGCATGAATCCGATATTAGGAATAAATTTGGGGGAAGAGGGGGTTACCTTTTCAGAAGTTAAGCATTGTGATTGGAAGTCAATTTCCATTAATAGAGATTGAAATTTTTGGCATGTGTTTGTTTTAAGGGAACCGCCCCGGTTTTAACATCTACAATATAGAAACTCTTTAAGAATGTAATTACACTTGGAAAAAAAAAAAATCAGCAATTTTGGATAGTAAACCAAAATTCGAGAAAATCTTTTGATTTTAGTGATGTGTATAATATTGTATTTCCCCCCAAAACTGTATTTTCACTTAATATTTCTAAGTTGTTTTTTTTTATTTTTGAAATTATTTACTAATATTTTGCAAAAAGGGTACACTTTAAACCCAAAAATCCATTTAAACAATGCGTTTCTGGAGCAGATCAAATACGGACCTCTATATCATCAGAGGCAGGATCAGGTGCAATGGAGAAGTGATTATCCCCCGTATCCCCTTGTTATGATCGAAAAAACGAGAAAAAAAACCGAGACAATTAAGTACCAGGTATGCTATTAAAGGCTTAACGTTTAATATCAAAAGCGTCCGTCAGCAAACAATTTAATGATACATGTAGATTGTATTTGCTAACAAGATATTTGTTACAGTAACAAACAAACCAAAATAAAGACCTGGTTTTGTACACATTGTGCATTCTTTCAAGTATAATAAAGCATAATTCTAATCCTAGCCGCACGATCAGTGTTCATTGAAAAGATAATTCTAAACTATGATAACATTTAGTCGTGAACAATCCGTCCATCCCCCTCCATCTGTCCTCATATCACAGTACACATGTACAGGTCTCTGTCTGTCCCTCCAGGGGTATATTCTGTATACATCCGATAAAGCTGGGACTAGGCCACGTAAATCCAAACAAGTGGTCCCTGAAAGGAAAACATATAAAATGATGATTACATGTATAAAAATAAGTTTGATATTTTATATATTAAAAAAATGCAAACATATTTGTGTAAACATTACCATACGGAAGTATATAATATTCTCAATCATCAATTGCGTCAAGTCTGATGGGGCTCATTTCATTATAATTCATGCGCATTTGTAATGTTTTACAGGATTTCAGACGCCGGTTAAACAATAGTGCAGCACAAGCCAAATTATGAATACATTTTATCGTACATGCCACAATATTAATTCCAGTAAATTCAAATATTTCATCGTAAATAATGTCAGAGAAAGAAACAAATTAAGTGTTCGAATTTAAGAAAGAATTGCACTCCAAAAACCAAGATAGGTAGAAAAAATCCAAAACTAAATGTTAACTGTAGAAATATTAATCTGGACATGTCATCAAATCTTTACATTTAAAAAATAATTCATGTTATGAATAAAAGTCGCATTTGTAATGTTTTAACAGGATTTCAGACTCCGGTTAAACACATATAGTTATCAACACAAGCCAAGTTAAAAAAAATTTAATTCCTTTTTTTATACTTGTATGTTTGATAACAATTTTTGTCTATTTCATGTACATATTTTCAAGCCTTCATTTGATCAATATTAATTCCAGTAAATTCAAATATTTCTTGCAATCATTTCTTGTAAATAATGTCACAATTTACCTTTGAAAAATTACAGAAAGAAACAAAGTGTTCGAATTTAAGAAAGAATTGCACTCCAAAAACCAAGATAGTATCTTTTATATAGTTGTATTGTGGTAAATTTTTCTAGAATTCATTGACAAAATATAATGATGAGGTAAATTGAAATGCTTGTATAAAAGCTGTTGACCCCATTATTTATTTTAAATCTATTACCTGATATTCTGTTATTACAAGATCCCTTGGTTTCACCAACTTAACCAAGTCCACACAGGTTTTATTTTATTCCGTAGACAACATTAGACGATTTGAAGTTCAGATTTCCCCAAGAGCTCTGCCCAGTAAGATTACTGGTGAAGTAAGGGTAAGTTATCAAAATGTCACAGGTTTTACATTTTTTTTGAGAACATTTTGAAATAGTACACATGGGAATCTTCCAATTTATCTGTAATAAAACCTTACATTCTTTCAATTCTTTTAATGATTGATTGATTGTTATTGTTTAAGCCGGATCGGCAATATTTCAGTCATATTTCGGCGGTCATTCTATGAAGTATTGGTTTTATACCAAAGCTGGGAATCTGAAGACTCTATATATGACATATGTTTAATATCCCTTTGGATTATCCGAGGGACACCATATGCGTGTATGAAATACAGAATAAAAGATAGGCCAATCCGAATGCTTTGATAAACTAGAGAGAACACTTTGATTTAATAAGTAGTAAACACTATATGTAGCTCAAAACATTTTTGTTAAAGACAACACAACACCGACCGAAATTTAAAAAAGTAATATATAACGAAATAAAAAAGTTAAGCGTACTATGAATTCAAAATTTAAATATTCTAACACTGCAGTAACATTTCATTACGTAGACATCCTGAAAGTGTGTGACTGAACTTCGTACTTAGTATAAACATTTACTCATTGAAAATACAATGTAATATGTAAAACGGATCTCTAACACTTGATATAATTTCTATAGAAATATTTGGAACTTGCCATTTTCCAAGTGATGAAAAATTTATTTTGCAATGTGTCAATGTCTTTAATAAAAGAAGAAAATTAATAAAGGTTTATTGCAGCAGTACAACAAAAGAAATAATATATAAGACCAATGTGACTTAAACACATCTCTTTTTATTAATTTATTTTTCTCTCATTTAATGAAGAAAACCCGATGTTTCTGAGATTGATATGAAATTGTGATTTTAAGTTTTTTTAAAAAAATAATATTCATGGAATTTTTCAGTATCCAAAGTTTCATGAATATGCTAGTGTGACCGGTCAGCAGGGTTTGCTCACTCCTCCATGGCACCTGATCCCACCTTTGATGTTTCGGTGGTCCGTGCTTGCTCTGCTCCAATTTTGTTTTGTTTTATGGACTTTGATATTGAATACTGTTCGTTATCTCCATATCTTTCATAGTACTCCTGAGGTTTCTCCTCCACCGAAGTTATTTTTCAATAAAGACTAGTCACTAGATTATTGATAGCATTTGTTTAAACCTGCTTTGTATTTTTTTTCGAAAATTTTTTCTAATCGTATCCAAATAACTGAATGGTATGTTATTTGAATATTTTTTGTTTGTGAGGATTTTCTATGTATCCACTAAATGTTTTGTCATTCAAATCATTTTTTGATTAAGAATATTGAACATATTAATAAATATCAAATGATTTAAATGATTTTTCTTTATAGAAAAGAAGGTAATAAACGAGAAAGTAGTTGATATCCCAAGAAAAAATTGCTTTCGTTATATAGCACATGGATATATACACGTACAACAGAGCGTATATCTAACTTATGATGAATAATAAACTGATAATCGACGATTTTAGCGCATTATGAGCTTAGAATTCTTTTTCATCATTTTATATCAAATGAACTTTAAAAAATTAAAATCATTCGATTGAAAAAAAAAATCACTTAAAAATTAAAATCATTCGATCTTGCAAAAAAAAAAAATCGATTGGAGGAAAAATACCTCTCATTCGATTTTTTTAATCTCCACTGCATGCAAGGAACAAAATTTTTGTTAAATTGAATATTAGAGGTATATTATATAAATTCATATTAAAAGGCAGTTTGTAAAAGGAATCCAATACTATTCATCGTTATACAACAATCAACAACTGCTTTCCGAAACTTTAATTTTTTCGAACATGTCCTCACTGATATTTCTGCAATTAATACCCTTACTGGGTCTATTGCCATTTCTTTCATGTTTTGGACTACAGTTAGTTACAAAGTTCGAAAAATTTGTTTCATTCGTGGACACTTTACCAGAGGAAATATCTGAGGTTACCGAAGTAAGTTTGTTAACGTGTACAGCAGAATGTGCTATGTTTTCGGCCTGTGTTGCATTACTGTATAGTCCGCGTGTTCAATCCTGCAAACTATTACATCAGTATATTAACAAAAACTTCGAAAAAAATTCTAAAGAATCTGAAGCGTGGAGTTATTACACATTGCCATATGGTAAGTATATTAAACAATTTTTGCCTTAAAATGATTTTTCCTTGTTTAAAAATGTTTAGAATATTACCGTCGATTACTATGTATTGTCTTTTCAAAGCATCCACTTGTTTGGAGTTACGTGCCCGTGTGCCAGCTTTATCGGGTGTATACAGAATATATCCATGGAGGGACAGACAGAGACCTGTACACGTGTACTGTGATATGAATACAGATGGAGGAGGGTGGACGGTTTGTTTATGGCTGAAATATATCATATAATTCAAAGTGTACTGAATATTTGCATATTTCCGAATTCTTATTCAACCAACAGTGGCTCATGAACGGGACTGTTGATTCTCTAGATATCAGTTACGAAGTTGTTTTTTAGTGTTTATAAAAAGAAATCATATAAAATTATAACTGTTAAAAATGATTGATTATGATGCATTCCAACTCTGTACTTCCTATTGTTTGTTATATATGATAAGATGCTTTGCAAAAGAAACAACAAACAAACATAAATTTAACACAGTCAACAAAAATCACTAAAAGTAAAAATTACCCTCTTTTGGAAAATTATCTGTTATTATTTTTCTATACATTGCTATCTTTCTTAAGTTACTTATTATATACAGGCTATACAGAGACGTGTCTACGGTCCTGTGCGATTTAACAGAACATGGAGTGAGTACAAGGCAGGGTTTGGATCGGCAGAAACGGAATACTGGCTAGGTAGGTATTACCTCCAGAGAGAAAACGCATCGAACAAGCACAATCACCCAATCATGACGATCTTCAATGAAAATGGCTTTGTAGGGTGTGTATTGTTTTACTAATATTGCAGTCTTTTTCGAGTTTGTTGAGAAATCGTTCATCAACAAGTTTTTTTTAACTATTCTTTCATAAAACAATTAGGATAAAACTCACAAAAATGAATTTCGTAAACGAATTTTACGAATGGACAAGTATGTGTTTTACTTTCTACAATGCCTTCTGTTTTGTTTTAAAAAAAACTTTTGGCTTATATGCTACTGACAACTTTGGTAGCAAATTATCATTTAAAAACTTTACTCCTGAGTAAAAAAAGTGAGGGGGGGGGGGGTCACTGTCAAATGACAGAAAAGGTTAATCTACAGGCGCAGATCAATAAAAGGAATTTGCATAATTAAATTGATCATGAATAATTTACTCAGTGTGAACGCTAAATCGCACAATTTAGTAAATAATTAATACGTTAAAGTAAAAAGTAAAGATAACGATGAAAAATGTATAAACAATACAAAAATGGGAATAGGGTTTAAAATACGGACCTCTGAAAATTAGAGGTTAAATCATTTGCCTAGGTAGAAAAAGAATCTCATGTTGACCGGTGTCGCATAATATTTGGTCCGCCTCGTTTAAAGGTCCGGCCGGACCAAATACGATAACATATTAGGTCCGCCTTTTATAAGAAATGGTCCGGCCCGTATAAGAAAAGGTCCCCCTACGTTTTAAGGTCCGGGTGGTGCAAAATGTTTTAATCTTGACTTTAACATATGATATTAAAGAGAATCAGTTTATACTATATGATAAGAAGGATTTACCCTATTGTGTTTTATTTTTTGTACAACATACACGTATCGCTAGACAAGAATCTACTCTTTAGTGTGCTTTGAGCATCGCCGTTTAGGACCATAATTTCTTTAAAAATAATGCCACAATTATTGTGCAAGTGTTTGTTTTTCCTTAGAATTTACTTTGTGTAAATTAGTACGATTCAAGGTGTGAAATCTGTCGGTGTGTATAGCTAATAAAACAATGGGGTGTGACGTATTTGTTTACCTGACAGGTACCCACAGGTAGAGCCGGCGGCAGATGGCGCTGTCATTGAATGGTCGGTGAACCTAATGGTCATGTGTTAGCTTTATATATCTATAGATTTGAAGTTTTTAAATTAATAAATTATGCTAAGGAACAAACTACTCATGCGTACACTTCAAAACTGCGACATTTGTAATAAGTATAATCGTATAGTCTTTATTTGAAAAGCTAAATATGGCGTATCATAATCTGAGCTAAAATTTAAAAATACTAGATTAAGCGTATAATAATTTACATGAGATGTGATATTTATGTTCAAATTAAAACTTTTACCTATATTGAACTTTAATATACCGACGTTTCTATTAGTTAAATTCAAACTAATTGAATCAAAACTGTGTCTGATATTTAAATTCCGAGTCGATAAGAATCGGTCATTGTTTTAAATCTCTGATATCTATACATGAAACGCAATTGATTTAAATTTCGGTAATGGAAAATTTTAAAGAATAAATTATAGACTGTTTAGTAAATCAAATGTCTTGGATATAAGTTCGGCGCAGTCTCTGACATTTAATTTGGTGAACAAAATGAATGAAAAAAATTCTGTTAACTAGACTTAGTGCTTCATGTACAGATGTATATATATACAGAATTTTTATATTAAAAATGTTGTGTATAATAATTTTTTTTCAAAATTCCTTTTCTACGTACATGTACCTGTTAAACATTAAATTGCCGGAGAGGTGCCTAGCAAAAATTCCGGAAATGAAAAGAAATAAATGTCGGGAAAAAAGAGTATTTGTCGGAAATAAAATAACGAAATGTCAGAAATGAAATACAGCGGTTCTTTCTGTATATAAAAGAAAGATATTTTTAATATTGTAAGTCTTAACTTATAAAAAAAACCGCCTTATATGATTTAAACAAATTCCTTATCCCAAGTGTGGAGTTTAATACTACATGAAAGATCGATAAAGGTTACATGTAATTCTCTGGTTTCCAGTAGTCTTTACATATACCTTTTGTTTTCTGTTTATAATCATATTTTGGTCCTTTATTTGTGGATAGTGTAAAATATAACCTAATATTGAATTCGATCTCTATTTACATTTACTGCAGAAACAAAATACATGATTGTAATGTTCAGTTCAAGACTAAAGCAGCTCACACAATGTGGAAAACATATACATCAGGGGGATGTTTTACAAAAGAACTTACGACTCAGACCAAAAACTTAAGCTGATTGTATAATTTTATAAAATTAATTATTCTTTTTGAAATAACTGTAAATTATTTTCTATTATAACCGACATGGAGCCTTTTGCGAAAAATTGTTTATAATTATTTATCTTACGCCTGTATGAAAAGGATTAAGCCTGAGGGGGAAAGTTTTTATAAGTTCTCGTCCATATACTCAAAAATAGAAGAAAAAAAATAAAGCATACATGTGTTTACAGTTGGATCCAGCATTGCATCACTTGACCCTCTTCATATGTTGTGTATCAAGTATTTTTTTAATTTTGAATCTCTGCAGACCCCCCAACCTCACCCCAGCCCGCAACAGTACCCAGAAAGAGCCATAGCGCATTTGATAGGCATTTTCGCCTACACTACTAGTGATTTTTTTAATTACATTGCTTAACCTAAATTTTGTTATACAATCTTAGTTTATACATGCATAAAACCAAATCACACAACAATGATATGCCAATGTAATAGTTCCCTCATATGATAAATATAAAAATTATCCAGTTTGTAAGGAATATATAATAAATATTGAGGTATCCACCTAACGATGACAATTTGTTGCCAAAGACCACCCTTAACCAGAAAAACAACTTTTGAATAATTTTATTTGGATATGACTGCTCTTCATTCCATTTAGATAATTTTGGTTAAAGGTGGTCTTTGCTCATTGCAAAGGAAATTTTATACGGGGTTTATTTTCGTATAGCATAAGAATCAGAGAAAGTGACATGACGGACCTTAAAGCGCAGTATAATATATAAGATCCGTCCTCTGTATTTCAGAGATCTGTATGTTATGAAGGGAAATTTTTGGACAGGGTTTATTTTCGTATCTTAAAAAACTAGAGAAAGAGACAAGGCGGACCTTAAAACGCAGTTATCAGAAAAGGTCCGCCCTCTGTATTTCAGATATCTCCATGACATAAAAAAAGATTTGGACAGGTTTATTTTCGTAGCTTAAAAAACTAGAGAAAGAAATAGGGCGGACCTTAAAACGCAGTTATCAGAAAAGGTCCGCCCTCTGTATTTCAGATATCTTTATGTTTTAAAGGGAAATTTTTGGACAGGGTTTATTTTCGTAGCTTAAAAACACGAGAAAGGGACAGGGCGGACCTTAAAACAAAATTATCAGAAAAGGTCCACTCTCTGTATTTCAGATATCTTCATGTCATAAAGAGAAAGATTTGGACAGGTTTATTTCCGTATATAAAAAACTAGAGAAAGAAATAGGGTGGACCTTAAAACGCAGTTATCAGAAAAGGTCCGCCCTCTGTATTTCAGATATCTTCATGTTTTAAAGGGAAATTTTTGGACAGGGTTTATTTTCGGAGCTTAAAAACACGAGAAAGGGACAGAGCGGACCTTAAAACGCAGATATCAGAAAAGGTCCGCCCTCTATATTTCAGATATCTTTATATTTAAAGGGAAATTTTTGGACAGGGTTTGTTTTCGTAGCTTAAAAACACGAGAAAGGGACAGGGCGGACCTTAAAACGCAGTTATCAGAAAAGGTCTGCCCCCTGTATTTCAGATATCTTTATGTTTTAAAGGGGAAACTTTTGAAAAACTAGAGAAAGAGACAGGGCAGACATTAAAACGCAGTTATTAGAAAAGGTCCGCCCTTTATATTTCAGATATCTTTATATTTTAAAGGGAAATTTTTGGACAGGGTTTGTTTTCGTAGCTTAAAAACACGGGAAAGGGACAGGGCGGACCTTAAAACGCAGTTATCAGAAAAGGTCCGCCCTTTATATTTCAGATATATCTTCATGTCATAAAGAGAAATTTTTGGACAGGGTTTATTTTCGTAGCTTAAAAACACGATAAAGGGACAGGGCGGGCCTTAAAACGCAGTTATCAGAAAAGGTCCGTCCTTTGTATATCTTATTACACAGCAAAAATTATGGACGGGGCACATCTCTCTCATTAACAATAGAAAACGACGACAGACAACGGACAAATTGTGATGAGAAAAGCTCACTTAAGCCTTCAGCTGATGTGAGCTAAAGAGTAGCAGGGGGACCTTAAAACGCACCAGAAGAAAGGGTCCGCCTTTTGTTTTGAAAAAAAAATAGACAATTGCTAACTTAATTTCCAACTACTGTCTACTGACATAAGAAAATTCTTCGACAGAAAAGACTGATTTTTTGATTAAATGCTGCCGAACGTCGCTCTCGAGAATTTTTCACTCATATAGAGACGCCACCACTTGCCGCCAGTGAGCTACAGATTTTGTCCTTTACTCGGCACTTACGGCTATTGAGTAGGGAGGGATCTTTTTCGTGCCAGCACCTACTGCGACACGGGACCTCGGTTTCCACGTCCCAAAAAGGGATTCGAACCTGCGACGTAAGGACCAACTCCTTACTTCGACGCTCTAACCATGCATTCCATGTAATGCTATTGGTTATGAATTTCATTTCTTTTTACAGTTTAATTTGAATATATAAGCAAGGAATATACTTATAAAATCTACGCAAGATAATACTTCCTTACACTGTAAAGACCATCTTTAGAATTAAAAATTTAGAAATAAAATTTCAATTGCTGTAACATCATTGGCGTCGGAAGTAAATTGGAGGGGGTGGGGGGTTATTTCAAAGGGAAAAAAAATGTCAAACCTCAAAAAAAAAAAACCTTGACAATCACAAAAAAGAAAAAGGAAATTTTGACCGGGGGGAGG